TTATTCACTTATTAACCTTGACTGTTTTTATATGAGCGTATGTATGTGTACATCTTTTCCTACTCATCACATATTTGTAGCTATTTTTGTGCGAACAGAAATATTGAATAACGTTTGATTAAATTGACATGGCTCACACGTCATCTCCTTCGCGTATCATTTCGTTTCACTTCATTCTTTTGATCGTCTCTCTGGATCAATGATTGTACAAAATATACATATTCGAAATCCATTCTCGTATTTGACTTATTTTAATCCCGTTATTCACTAACGCAAGTTAAGTCGATGTTTATATACGAGAATAGCCAGGATATGTACTTTGATAACAATCATTCGTACGATCTAATTAAAGTCAGATATAGGGCCACTAAACTTAAAACGAATTACAAATAGTTTTAAATGAATGGAAATATTTTGATAATAAAACTAATCATGCATTTTTTAAGGTTTCAATTTCGCTAGCGAATGGATAAATTACATAAACTCTTATAAATGAAGTGCTTATATTTTAAATGCTACCTAACCATGTTAATTTTTATGTAAATATTTTGTAAATAAGGAAATAATTTAACTACACAGTAAAATATTCTTATTTCTTGGCTATTTATGCTGTTTACGGATATCGATTAAGTTGAGAACCTGTCTCAATAATTTAACCTTGTTAACACCTATCAGTTAACTAGATTGTATATTATCTATCATTGTGTTTATCACAAATCCAGAGTCACGATCCTGAACATTGTTTACTAAATAATATTTAAAGAAAAGTAACATTATTTATGGGGTACAAACATTGTATCATATTTGAATTGCTCAGTGTGTTGGTAACACTTCTAGGTTGGTAATTAGAACAGAAAACTAATATGTTGCATTTAAGTTTACAGATAAATAAATGATTTTTTAACAATATATATATATATATATATATATATATATATATATATATATATATATATGCCTGTTATTCCTCGTGGAGGAGCATAGGCCGCCCACCAGCACTCGCCATCCAACCCTGTCCTGGGCAATCCTTTCCAGTTGTTATTCCATTTTTTCATATCTGCTTCTATTTCCCAACGTAAGTGCTCTTTGGCATATATATATATATATATATATATATATATATATATATATATATATATATATATATATATATATATATATATATACTTAAGTCGTACTTCATTTTGATTACAGTATACTGCTTAAAAGTATGGTAACTTGAACTAATGGATTATGATACAATACTATACGTGAATATTTGTTTGACGAATTAAGAACACAATTTTTGTCAAGTTTAAATTGATCTTAATAAAGAATTCCCGACATATAACAACTATACTACAGTGAATTTCGATTATGGTTAAGCCCTTTAATTAACTTGCTTAACAGACGTTGTTATTAGAACAATAGCAATTTGTCTATTTGTTTGTTCTGGTATGATAATTAGATCACATGACGGACTCGAGCTAAAATATTTATCGCTTAAATATCACTCGATGATTCGTTTTCCTCCACATGTATATATTTACTGAAATCCTATTATTCGTCCTTGCTACGCCCTTATGTGATTTGACTAAATTTGCCGCTGTCTTTGTTCGCATACATATATATTCGCCTCTCTGCTTCAAATTCGTTTGATGTGCTTATAGATTTGTGATCTGCGCTATCCACTAATCAACTGTAGTTGCCACTTGTCATTGCCGTCTGACTTCAACCACCTTTGAGGTTTATATTGTAACGGTTATCGATGTGATTGATTAACTAATCAAAGCCACTACAATATGAAGAGGTAGTAATTCTCTTTAAAAACACTTATACACATCTAAGTAGACAAAAATATCTAGGGAAGGAGAATTTACCAGTTATCTCTGCGTATCTTGATATAAAAATAAAGGGAATTCAGAGAAGAAAATTCTCTTTCCGACGAAATCATTTACCTAAACTGATTCGAGACTCCAATTGTTTAATTATGGTCGATATAACTGACTATTTCAAAGACAAACCATTATTTCCAACTTGATACTGACAGATTAGATCCTCTAGCATTTATTCCCACGGGATGGCATTGCTAACTACATGCCTAACCCTCTTTTATCCGGTTTTGGACCGGCGGTAACCTTAGGACTACGGACAGAACCCTGCTCTTGGGGCAAACAAACCAACTTCCAGTTGAAAAAGAAATTTGGAAAAGACCGTGGGGGTGGATAGCTCATTTTACGGGGATCATCGAACTGCGTCATGAAGCAAGCGTTAACTCGGGATCCTTAAGGTAAAAGAAAAAGAAGCATCTCAAAGAACATATTGCACTCGGGATCAGAGGCAGACATCAAGATAATAAATAGCACTTGGTAAAAACCGGGAGGGAGGTTCCTGGTCGACGGCCTATGGCTAATGAGGGGCAACAGTCGTAAGTGCATAATGCTTATGTCCTTTATCAATGAATTTCACTAGTATAAATTGCTTAATTTTATTTATACCGACGTAGTTTAATAGTTTTGAGATAATTAACTCAACGCGAAAATAAAGATGAACAGCTGTTATATCATTCAGAATAGTTAAGTATCACTACCCCATAACAACATAAAATATGCAAAACCTGGTATTTGTAAAATGTTAAAATTCAATAATGGTGTCTTAAAAGAAGATATTAGCATCCAAGCCGTAAGATATGAACACAAATGTTACCCTGAAATTAGCTAACTAGATGAAATTATCATAAATGCCACTGGACCGGACTTTTCCAAATAGATCTATTGGTTGAAACCAATAACAGATCTAATTACAAATAGTGTGAGACTAACTACAATCCAAGAAATCCATAAGGGGACAGTTAACATTGCGAAGTCTTATGGTCGGATTATATAAGTCAAATGCCTTAACTACTGAGAAACCGCTCCAAATGACTTTCGAAAACCACATTTACTAATAATTCTTGTTCAGGAAGGTATATAATAATCGTAAGAAAAAATGATATTACCAATCTACAACTGATATTGATTGGCAAGTCCTACTAAAAAGTTCAGAGTGGAATCGAATTCACCAATATTTTATCCTTCGGAAGTGTTAAGTATTGGATGTAATGGTTAACACTCACCCAGGATCAAATATGATACAGACATTCAGTAGAAAAGTATGGCAAGCCTGCTGTCATTATCTCTCTTATTACAACTCAGCTACTCTTATTGTTTAGTATTCTTTGACAGTTTACTTCACTCGACAAGTCCCCAAATCAGAACACAGTTGAACAAGAACGTAATTGTACTCCAAATAAAGGTTGAATAGAAGTAGGAATTACAATAAAAACGCTAGTATATTTATAATTTTTACACAATATTTTAGTCTTCTCCAAGTATCCGCTACTGCTGATTGGCTAAGAGATGACCAGTCGGGTCCCGTTGCTAGCGATCGAAGTTGCTCCTAGTTGTTTTGTATGACGAAGTCAAACTTCTGAGTCAACTGAGACTTCGTAAACCACATTCCATTTCTTTTGCAGGATTCGACCAGCTGTTAATATAGGATGTGCGCAACGATAATCCATAGCAAGTACTTTTTGACCCACAGCGAACAATCGTCTTTGTACCTCGTGACGAAGATTGAATTGGTTCCCCATCGACTCGTTCCGTTGAGGCTCAAGAGCTGGTATCGGACGAATGGCATTGAAATGTGTTCGTATTATTCTCCTGAGTAAAGCTTCTATTGGATAGACCCGTTGATCGTTTGAGGATTTGGTGTAGAACGAAAGATAAGCAAGAACCTCTCTAAAATCTCTTGATTTCTTCGGGGCATCTTTAAATCTACCAACAAAGCATTCAACTTAGCCATTGGATTGGGGATGGGAATGTTTAGAGATAAGTGATTCCATCCTCCCGACAAAATTCTGAGGTAGTAGGCGTAAACTGTGTTCCATTGTCTCTAGCTATTAATTCTGGAACCATGAAACGACTGAACAGTCGACGTAGCTTTTTGACTACGAAGCTTACAGTAGACCGTTTCATGAGGAAAATCCGTGGCCATTTCCTATATGCATCAGCTACCAGAAGGTAACTCAACTGAGGGCCGACTCGATATAATCGGGTGCAGAGACTCTACGTACTTATTTCTTTTGGAAGATCTCCAGAAGTCGAGTAATACTGAATTGTGATCAACATATCCTGATCATGTTATAACGATATGTGACCGAGTGAAATTCAACTTGAAACAAGATTTCAGAACCATGTCAATAACGTAATTCTCTTAAGCCAGCTAGCAACTTAGTTTCGAGGCTAACTATGAGTTATATAATCAAAGCGTAGATACATCAAGACAGAAAGACCTTGATGCCCAATAACAAAATCTGTCACATTACAAGAAAGTAGTGTAACAAATGTTCAGTAACGTACGAACTTAAACGTTAACAATCACGAATTAATACCATCTCTGTACAATTAACTTATCTGAACTGGTTAAACTGATGGGACGTATAGTCTATCCAGTGAATATATGAATAAATTTACTAAGACTGTTATTTATGGACATAACTAATAACGGTCCTCGAAATACGGCATCAAACCGAAGTAACAAGACAAGGAACGGAAAGCATGAAAAGAAATGCAGAGAAAAATATTCGTAATTTATCTGACCCTGATGGACGCCTGTAGTACGTCTATTTGTCAGGACAATCAGCAGTGACTGACCGTAAGTTCCCATCACATATTTCGATCACTTTATTCACTAGACTTAGGACTTTTATTCCTGAAATCCAAGACGACTGTGAACTGAGAACGATGTAAAGAAAATAAAACAGAAAAGGAGATAGCCGGAAGGGTTTGACTTTGGAGGATCGCAAAAGATGCTTAGAACAATCGAGGAAGATATGAAACAAGTATATTGCTATAAATAGAGGGTATTTAAAAGATAGGAGTTAAGTACCTTGAAATGTGTAAAACAAAGGTATCACAACTTCAGTTCCCGAAGTTACCGGACAGACCTATGTAAAATGAAAATATCTGGATTTGTGTTTTAAAATTTATTCTAGAAAAAAAAAGAGGTATTTCAACGACAAAAAGAAATATACAAACTACGTGATGTAAAACAAAGACATTTTAGTTTTCAGTAATCAACATCCTCTTTTAAAGCATAAAAATACAATCAAAACTCCATATACAGAGCAAAGATAAGATCAGAACAACTATGTACAAATACCGAAAATGAACAAAAGATGAAGAAGCACAGTGATTTAGAGAGATAAGAAGACAACTTATTTATAATTATATGTCATGAGTTAATCACAGGAGATGCTTGTTCCTTATTGTTTGATCCGACAGGTCTCGGTTTCCCATAAGTAAATGGAACGTAGCGATATTTGATCATATGCTGTATCGTACAAAAGAAAAGAAAGTCAAACAAGCAACAAAAATGATTCAATGTTACATATTCATGAAGCAATGGAATAAATAGTGACGGACTAAATGATATGTGTTTGACAGAGAAAAACAAGAGCAAATTGTCAGTACCTTTTAAATGTTACAATTAACGTAGCCATCCGTAGTTGAATTTAACTGTCATTAAATGCAAACAGTTACACAATAATTTGACATCTTATTTTGTAAACCAATTGTCTAAATGAATTAAATGAAGCATGCAACAGGTACTAACTGACAACAGAGTACCTGAGGTACACTGATTCAGTTTTAATTCAGAATGACCTGATTGTATCATAGTATGTAGAGGATAATGGTCCTTTCATTGATTTTTTTAATATTCTCAATATCAGTGAGTACTTTTAATTTTCTCATTCCTTTACTTTTCTTAGAAACATATTTAATTATTATATCATTACTACTAACACTACCCATTCGCCACTTATCTTATTAATTTTACTTCGCTATATTGAAGTAGTGTGGCAGCTTAGGGAAATGTACATTTGTGCCAGGTCCTATGATGACTAAAATTGAGTGGCTGAAATAAAATAACAAACAGTGGATTATTAAAATGGTGGCTCTATAGCCACATTAACCAAATTCTAACCATTAGGTCGCAGGTTTAAACTTCAATCTATCTACTTTAATTTCGAAAGTCGGGTAGGATTGCTAACCATCACACAAAGTGAAACTCTAATTCGGCTACTCAGACTTTAATTCGTTAAATTATTACTAATGGGGGGCTCAATGGTCTTTCTTAAATAATTAGGGTTTAAAAAGCTTTTCAATATGTGAATAGAACAATACTATGGAATTTTATGAACAAACACATATGTATATATTCTTCTGTGAAACCTGAGGGTAAAATAGTCATTGCTACAGTATCGCACCTAACAATATAATAAAAGGTAACAAAAAGTTAGCATTTGATATCTGAAGTTTTCTACGTGAAACTCAATGGAGTTATAAAACTTAAAACGAACTGATAAGACGAATAGTGGATTAAACAAATAAACAATATTAACTGAACATGGGTAAAAATTATAAAAAAATGATAAGACAAACCTTAATTTGCTTTTTCATCATAATAGCAAACAACATTATAAAATACATTACTAGTATCGGCCAAAATACTGGAATATCCAGGAATGGAAGATATGTGCAAAATATACTGATTGCAACGGCACGGACGGTGGAGAGCCTGCAATGTATTAGGAAATACAGTCATTTACTAACACAAATAAAAATGATGGGTTTAGATGTTGGATATCTTTAAAGTGATTTTTAACACACTTTCCAAATAGAGCTAGTTTTAAATGAAGACAATGTAGGAATTGTTGTGATTAATTACTCGGTTAATACAATTATCATTAGCATAATAGGATCCCGACCGTTGTTGCTACCTTGACGAGGTGGTCGGGCTTGCCTATCGTGATGAAGCAACCGAGCTATACTGGCTGGAACAATCGTTCCTCAAGGTCCTACCATGCCAGACAGGTCAGTTGAAGAATGGTAAGACTAAAAGCAACGAATCCAAGGTCCGAGGGCGAAGTCATACTTCTGACTGTACAGAAGTGTGACAGCAGTAAGGTGTTTCCTTCAGACAACCAGCATAACAGCGATGCTGCCTTCCCACAAGGAGGGGTGGGGTTAGAAAAGGTCGACCCTAAAAATGCACACCTCGCCTTATCCCACGGATATCCGTCTCTGGCGATAAGGTCTCAACAAGAACGAAGCTAACACGAAAATTACTCATAAAAAGGTCGTGTGTGGCCGATCTCAAGCAGTTGTCCCTTGGGCACTGCTGTCACTATAACCATCTCTAATCCAATTTCCTATACAGGTACCGCCAGAAGAACCCTTCCACGTTGTGGGCAACCGGGAAGCAATAACCGCTCTCATACCCCTAACAGCACTCAAGACCACTGTATTCATAATCAACCTCCCTCTTCAATTCCTATTATTCCTCCTACATCGAATTTCACCACTAAACTTCCTCCTTTGACCTCCTCAAGTGTCACCATGTCCAACGATTCTAGTGCGCAAAACACTCACAGGTCTACTGAAACCTCGCTCCAAACTACACATTGGAGCCTTCAACGTACGTACACTATGTCAAATCTGCCAGCAGGTCTTGTTGGCTGACTCTAGAATCTCGTACCATTGATGTATGCTGTGTCTCCGAAACATGCATACATGATCCTAGTGTGGTCATTCACTTGAACTCACCTCGCCAAGACGGAGAGATGATAAGATACACTCTCCGTGTATCTGGCGACCCGATGGCTAGTTCTCGTGGATTGGCAGGTATAGGCATAGCACTAGGTACGAGGGCGGAACAAGCACTATTAGAGTGGGCCCCCGTTAACAGTCGTCTATGCGCTGTTCGGCTAAACGGATCCGTGGGGTGTGGCCCCCTAAGAAAACCACCTGCTTCAGTTTGGGCACCCGGCAGCATCACAGCCCTCACACAAATCGATTGAGATTCGTGTGGCGTATATGTCTTGGTGCCTCCTTGTACCTATACCTGTGTTAAAATAAATATAAATAAACGGCTCCGTATGAACACGGGAGGATAGGGACACATTTCGTTGCCTTTTCGTTGTTTCTGCCTACGCTCCCACTGACTGCAGCTCGGATGAAGTTAAAGGTGAATTCTACAGAAAGCTAAACGCTCAGACATAGTACTCACAGCAGGTGACTTTAATGCCCAAGTAGGTAGCTTAAATCAAACAGAAAGACGTTTAGGTGGGTATTTTGGTATTGCGGCTCAGCGAACAGATATGGTGATCGTCTGCTGCAACTATGCTCAGACAATCGTTTATTTTTAGCAAACACTAATTTTAGGCATAAGGAGACATCGTCTAACATGGCGACCCCCTGCACCAAATCAACGATGGACTTAAATAGACCATATTGCCATCAGTCATCGTTGGAGAGGGTCGATAGGAAATTGTCTCTTGTTCTGGAATATCTGCGTGGACTCCCACCATGCTGTAATACGGGCACGTATCTGCTCGCGCCTTACTGGACGCAGGAAAGCCACATCAAGAAGACCCATTAGAATTGAATTCAGTGATGAGAAAGCCGAAAATACATTTCAGGAACAACTGAGGTCATACTTCAGTACTTTGAAAAACGAGGCTGACCCAGGTGTTGTTTGGAAAGATATACAAGCAGCTGTGGAGACAGTAGTGACATCTATTAGTGATTTAGACCACAGAGTTACAAAAAACCAATGGATTTCTTCTAGGTCTATTGCACTGGTAGATTTTCGTAAACTCATCCCATCAGACTCTGAATACGATGATGAGCGAAAGCAAATCAGATCTAGGTTAAGTAAAAGTCTAAGGAATGATCGTGAGCAGTGGTGGGCAACGAAAGCAAAAGAGATGGAAAAAGCGGCGGCTGTAGGTAACACAAGACAGCTCTTCAGACTAATAAAAGAAACTGGAACTAAAAAGTCAAGTGTAAGTTAGAATATCTCGGGAAAAGACGACACTTATCTGCTCACAGCCCAGACGTTTAGAACGACGGGTGGAACACTTTAAAGAATAGTTCAGCTGGCTTTCGGCTACTCTACAACTACCCACCATTCCCAGACTGTGAATGGAACATTGGAGTAGGTCCCCCGACTCTAATTGAAGTTCAAAAGGTTATAGCTAATCTGAAACAAGGAAGAGCAGCTGGTCCAGACGGATTGGCCACCCGATACCATGGGACTGCATCTGACTTTGACCCACTGCCTTATGGACTAGACATCTAGGTCGAAGGCTCGGGGTTCGGCTCCCTAAGAAAACCATCTGCTTTAGCTTGGGTGCCCGAGCAGTATTCCGGCCCTCACACCAAATGATTTGTGTGGCGCATATGTATTTGGCGCCCCTTGCACCAGTGTTTGTGTTCAAATCAATAATCTATCAGTTACATACAAAATATTGACTGTCCTTATATCAAGCGACTCGTTAGGGGCTTGGGTGTCATAATATCCTACCAAGTCTGAAAATCGCCACGTGCATTTCGAACCGAAGGGTAGTTCTCTCTCTTGACATAAGATTTCCGTCGATTTCGCTAGATGGGACTGTATTCAAAACTGGTTTTCAGTTGCAGATGATGTTTGCGGCAAAATGTTGATCGACGATAATATGAATGTTGGCATATTGAGAAACGTAGTCTACCACAGTAAAACAATACAAAACTAGCCACGAGACTCAATTACTTTTTACAGAAAGTATTCAGACTATTAATCCTCATCAAGTGTTACAATTTACCCTTGTATGTTGATCAGATATTAATGTTGCTAAAAGCAAAACTAAAGAATATTGCGTTGTTATTTTGTTCCCGTTTACGTTGCAGTTCTTCCGGCTGATGGATCCAAAAAAATTAGATCAGCTGAGATTCTTAATGGCAAAACTAACACCAGCATTCCAACCTTCTCACAACGATGCTGAAATGATCATGATCAATCGAGAAAAGAGTAGCACGGTACAAGCATATTCACCACTGAATAATGAAAGTATTCTTTTGGGGGACAAACTACTATGAAAATATTGCTGAATCAATAATTCATTGAGGTAGTAGTCATGTGAATTACGTCTCGGAATTGTTTTACGTATCACTAATACGTATGACATGTTTGAATAAATTAAGATGTAAAACTAACGTTCGAAGTACATATAACCTACCACCAAAAAATTTAGGAAACAGAGTCTTACCAGAATTTTGATTCAAGTAATCTTGGTATAAAAGGTCTGAACTCTTCACCTACAGTTCGTGGGAGTGTAGGGATTTCATCTAGTAGCCATATGGTAATTTGAATAGCATACACTTACCCGAATAATCTGCAGCAGCAGGATCTACTTTTGGAGAAATAAATGATATGAATAAACTCAATAAATATATTGCGAGAGTATAGCTAACTATATGGAAGCCCTGAATACAAACATTATGTAAAATAAATCAACGCACCTGGATAGATGCTATCCGGAGCACGTAAATAGCAAATAACAGCAACGCAAATAGCCATCTAGTTATCCTATACGGATAGAGCTTATCAATTATGGTTTGGTGTATCTGACGAATGATATTAAGGAATATGGACTTCAATGTTAACTAACCACAGTGACCGGGCGACAAACCTTCGACAGGAACGTATTCGACGACTCATCACTTGTCTGATCCAACTTCATAGTAAAGATTTACAATAGTTTCCGTTAATCGTGGTAAAGACCATCCAACAACGTCTTTATACGACAGATGCACGAACTGCCACCACTTGAACAACTCACACAAGTTTGGAAATCCCTCGCTAATCTACGAGAGAAAAAGTCGTTAGTTCGACGATTCAAACACGAGCTTTACTGAAGTGGAAGATGAATCGTTTATTCCTTGAGTCCTGAATTCGAAAAGTAGAAGAGAGGTCGCAATTACAAAGAGGTTTATTTTTCATCTCATTATTTGTGAATTTGAAGGACAAAAAATTACTTATCTGTAAGATAAACGATTGAGCTTCAGAAAGTTCACCTCTTACTTCTTACAGAGAGTCTCAGAACCTACAGATTCTGACCATTAAAATGTTTGCACAAATTTTTTTGTAGGGTTTTCCGTGTACTCTTCAATGTGGACGATAACATCGATGTGGTTTTTTAATTAATTTTATCTGTGATAGATTTCAGTCTTTTCCTTTTAAGCTTTCTCCAGTACATTAATTAGACGTTCCTTCCCCATCCACGTTGGATAGAACTTGATTTTTGATCGAACTACCTGAGAAGAGAGTAAAATCCCCTGTGAATGGAGTTAAGACGTTATTATTTCATAAATGCATTTAGTTACGGTGAAACTCGATAGTTTTCATTCCACTATGTCGGCTTGGCTGAAAATAAGTGCATTTAATTGAGCGTCAGCACAGTGAAAATCGGAATTACGGAGATTATTCATCGCTGATGCATTATCGTAGAATTCTTCTATAATTCAATTGCTAAAGATGGCATCATTATTTTCGTTAAAAACAATATGTGTTGCTCATTTTCGCCCATTGACTTTGTACGGTAAACTTTAACATATAAGGACCATATATAACGTCTCAATCACTGTATTTAAGTGATGAGCAACATTTAATGTTCCAGGTAATTGCTCAACCGTACCCAATGTTGGAACTTGCTTGACATCGTTGAATTACGTTCCTGTTCGGAATTGGTACACTAGAATAGTAGACCTAATCCCAAAATTATTGATTTGTCATGATATGATTACCTAATCTACAGGATCTTACATGAATGTCACATCATTCTCTGTACTGAATTGTCCTATAGTGACAATCGACAATATGATACTTATCACTTCTGAAGAAAACATTTAAGCTGTGGACATAATGGTATATTTAATATGAAAAAGAATGTGCAACACAATGATCACGCCTTCATGGACGAACAATGACATACTGAGTAAATGTTCACGCATTCACCATTTTTGATCTTCCTTATTGTGTTACATGTTGAATGTAAATCTTCTCACTAATTATATGTCCAGCCTTAAACATCGTGAGGTTGAGAACCAATACCACTGCAACATCCTACTTGTCATAGAAAAACGTTGTGAAAGAGTTCTTACAAGCCTGTTCAGAAGTAAACACTGACAATCGGCACGAACAATTCAAGAGCTAGCATTTTGTAGCTCAGTTTCTCACTGCTCCGAAAGTACAAATATTTCATGAACATAAACATTCTATCTAACTCTTTAGATCACATAGGCTAACCACGTTTGTGTGACAGCGGCAATAAGATGCGCTGGAAAAACTAATTTCGAGCACTCGTTTATACAGACAGACATTCGGAATAAGAATCGGGTAACCCAAGTGGAACGAGGCTGAATGGAGAAGGAGAGTGAGACAACTTTATCTGATCAAGTGTGACTTCGTATTTATAGCTCGACAAAAAAAGTTACAGTCATGTCACGAGTAGAGTGCAATGCACATACACGTTCATATAAACAAATTGACAAGGCCAAAATGTTTCGAGAACAATAAACAAATTGGTCTGTCTAAAAGCTAGAATAAACCATGCGGACTTGACATAACATTGGACATTCAAAGCTTGTCAAGATTTCTGGGGAGAAATTCTAGCGGAGTCTATGCCATTTTAATTGTAGTTGGGGTGTTATTGGTCTTGTATACGCCCCTGGAAAGATAGACCCCATATATAATTGTTTACTAGTCAAAATGTGATGGCATTATTTATATGGTCTTACTTCACAGCCACATTATTTTCTGTCATGGCCTACATAATTCTGGAACTCAGAGGTACCCCTTCGTAAGAACCTTTGAAGAATAAATACAATCACACTAGTACACTTGATTTAAAGACAATAGAGATGCATTTGTAGTGACCAAAGCCGTTCGACCGAATCATGCTGTCTCGTTTATGTTTCCGTATCTGCTTTTTGACCCTCATTGTTTTTGCCTACTATTGAACGCTTAATATTCTGGCATCCGATGTAGAAACGATTAATCTTGGTGGATACTGTATTCCACGCCAAAGGTTTTAAGATGCTTCATTTCTCCAAAAATCTGATAACTGTGCCAAAAATCTTTATATACATAAACACATCGATTCAAAAGTGCCAATTCATGAATAATAGTATGAATCTAACAGTCCACAGATGTTTAGTATTGTACTATATTTTAAAATGCTTTTAGTTTCTACGATCTGTAATGCTAATTTCAGGTGTATACTCATTTGTAAACCCTTAAATTCAGTTTTTTGACGCATACATGTGTAGCGTGATGTCGTGTCGCGATTGACTATGAACACCACTACAAGAAGACTACGTGCCAATTAACCAATAGGATCCCCGTAGGCCAATATCAGAAGGCAGATGATGGCTGTAGTCGAGATGTATTTGTTGGCGATCTCGTGGTATCGAAAGAATACCGATATCGTGCCGAAGGAGTACAAGTGTGGTTACTAAGCGTAACCGGATTCGTACAAGTTCAAAGTCAACGAGAGAGTGAATGTAATGACTGTCACTAGCACAGTTAAACGAACGAGCACAGTAAAACAGTCACTGGTACAATTGGTTATAATAATAATTGTTTTCATTGAACCAATCGCGTTCTGCTGACAAAAGTAGGTCACTACACATGTAAAGATAATAACTTGCAAATGTTTGTTGACCACAAAAATGAAGATTTCATATGTAAACTGTTTCAGATTAAAACATTTCTCTGATGAATGGCATAGTACACGTTTCTGACATTCATCTTGGGAAAAAATCTAATTCACACGCTAATGGCGAGGTGTTCGTCAACTCCATTATCGCTGCAGGGCATTATGAATGCCGTACTTTGTTCTGACTTTCGCTTTGTACAATTTGGAATTTCGTTAGGGTTACTGTTTTTATAAGTGACCTAAATTTACTACTTTTTATTAGATTCGTATTGCTAACATCAGTTCACATAAGCACGAATCAAGACACATAAATATTATAGCCAAAGTAAAAAATATCAGAGACACATAAAAGATCACATAATAAGAGACAAAGTTTGAATGGCAGTTTTAAGGGGTAGAGCTACACGAATAAAAGAGGATTGGGTTAGTACAAGAACTGAAGTAGGAACTGTTACTTTATTTAGCGAAAAATAATCATCCGAAAACTTTAGTTGTGATGCGAAAGCCATGGAGTCTGTAAACGGTTCTACATAAATCTGTTTTTATGTTTCCTATAAATAAATTCAAATTGCCTCAATAATGGTTGCTTTCGCATCTGCTTTGAAGTTATCCCATAGGCTTTATTAAATACGTAATGAATAAATTTTTTAAGCACAATGTCTGGTAGGGAAATTCCGGGATCTGTACAATTCATTCTATCGTAATTGCGAATGAACCGGAAAGTGTAAATAATAAGAAGACTGTGAATGTATGAAAAGACAGTTTAGAGAATTTGAATCAAGTGCGCTTTGCGAATTACTAATAATCTCGGTTTAACCAAGACTTTAACATTACTCAGTTACGAAGCCGAATTCAAGATGAAATAAATGTAATATAATTTAACCATCAAAATAGACTAAGGCACGTAGGACATTATATTGTACACTGACTATGTTAATTATTGACCGCAAATAAGCTCTAATGATCAAAATAACCAGAAATATCCTCGCGAACCATTTTTAGTTGTCAACTGAATGGAAACTTCAAGATAAATTACAAAGGGGACAGTGTTTAAGTTCAACAGATAATAATAATTTAGTACATCCTGAAAATAATAATTATAGAACTCATGTCAGTTTACGGGCATGATCAGCCTGATAAAAATATTAATGTCAAATGTAGATAAAAAATATTTGATATGACTGTTTTAAGTTTTTTTAGTTCAAAAGCTGTTTAGGTAGTTCATTTCTTACTCTCAATACAATAATGAAAGGCATCAGCCAGGAAATTTGAATACTTTTTAAGTTGACATCTTGTTGATGTATGAACAGTGTATTTAGGGCGATTTCCTGCTCTATAACGAATCGATTATAACCAGAGAAAATAAAATGGAAGCAGACAGCACGGGACAAAGAAGGCAATAATTACTACGACAGGTTAGTGAGGTCTACTATAACACTTATGTTGGATTATTTTATGGTCTGTAATCCATGTTAGACATTACTCAAATTAGTTAGGGTTTCCAGGGATGGTGTAAGTGTAAAGTAAGAGAAGGTGGGTAGGCTTACTAGGTGGATTCAGTAATAAGAATGGTTTTACATTTCAAGTTCCTATAAACCCACTTGTGGGATAAAATAAACTGACCTGTTTTAGAAAATTCTAATACTATGATGATTAGAAGTAATTGAATTATAGTATGAACTAAGAATCCCAGGGACAACGTAATTGAATCAAGAAGTACTACACAAGCACCAACGAATGTACTGTATTTAGAATTCGAAATCAAACATTCAACAAGTACAAAGGAGTCATTAGTTCATTCAAACACCACATCCGCCACAGCGTAAATTAGAGTCTAAGTGTCTGTAATCAATTGTACGTCTTCTTCTCAAGTTCATCTTGTGTTTGTCCGACAGTGTATGGTATAAAGACTCTGTATTATCCAGAATGCACTCATTAGTATTAGAATTAACAACCGATATGGGAACAGACTCACCTGGTTCCTGGAATTGTATTTGATCAACATGTCGATTGTGTGTACTTAAGTCATTGATATCTAGAAGTCGCACCATAGATTTCCCGACATTCTTCAGAACGATCCCCGTGGATGGTCGAAGATCATTGCCACGATAATACGTAACTTCTGCAGACTCCAAACATCTCATATTCGACCGAAGAGTTCTTCC